GGAAGAAGTAACAGTCCTAATATGCAAACAACACATCTGAGTCTATGCCATAGAACTACTATGCCACTATTCTGAAGTGTCCTCTTGGACATTCATATCAATGTAAGATTTAGAGATGTCAGTGTACAAAATGTGACTAAAAGAACTGGAAATCATTTAATAAGTAAACTTTGGTTAAAAAATGAAATTGTGTCCAACAGCAGAAAAACAGTTGATTAAAAATCTTTTTTTCTCTTCCAAAAGAATATAGCGATCTCCCTCCCAAAAAAGTTGCAACTATATCATTTTTCCAACAGTTTTATATAAACAAGCAAGCTATAAAACATCTGAACGTATGTTCTGACAGATTATTTTCCCTGTTAAACACAAGAAACAATGCTTAAAAATAACAAGTTTATAGATACCTTTCAATGACTGTTCCATTTTGAATCATCCAAATATCACAATATGTACGGACTACCAGCATCACTGCAATAAGCAGCAAGTAACCTGTCTAGTACAAAAACAGAAGTGTAACAGTTAAACAATGGATAAAATTCACCACTTTTTTCTAGTAAGTGGTCGAACTATATCTAGCAAAAAAGTATTACCCTGCTGCCCCCAGCTAATGCAGTATTTACTTATTTTGCAGGAAGCACATTAGCATACATCATTTTTAACATAGTAAGGCTTACGTTTTTATGGAGAAAGTTTGTCTTTCTAAAAGGTGTATTTGCTTGATACATATACCGGACACATCTCACAAGATGGACGACTGCAGGGATAAAGAAGTCACTGCTATTCTAGACACCATAAGCATAGGGTCATAAAGGTTGCAAGGGACCTCTGAAGGTCACCTACTCTAACTCTCCACCCAAAACAGGGCCGCTAGTAACCAGTCACCAGCCAGACCTTGTACCATTGATCAAAAACCTTTAAGCCTAACAGTCCAGCCAGTTTTCCATCCACCTCACTGTCCAGTCATCCAGCCAACCCAGTTTGGCTATCAGGGTACCAGGGGAGGCCTTAGTATCAAGGCCTTGCTAAAATCAAAGTATTCAGCATCCTCTGTTCTTCCCTTATCCACACAGCCAGCCATCTCATCTCTGAAAGCAATCAGGTTAGCGAGGCATGATCTGCCATTCACAAATCCAGACTGGCCATTGCAATCACCTTTTTGTCCTGTGGCCAGAGTTTGCTTCCAGGAGGACTTGCTCACAGACTTACTAGGAATATGGTGAGGCTGACCAACCTTTAGCTTCCAGTATACTCATTTTTGAAGTTCTAATATATTACAGTTCATCACTTAAGTTCTGAGCTCACTAACACTTAAAAAAAACTTAAGCATTCTGGAAAGCATGAGAAAGATGCTGAGGCAATCAATTTTATCTTGCTAAATTCTAATCTGCATAGCTTTCCTGAAGTGATGCTAACAGACTTTTTGACAAATTCACTTTCTAATAAGGGTTGGCCTAGACATAAGTTACAAAAGTAAAATTATGGATGAACAGCATGCTACTTAAAGATAGGAAGCATTGGCACAGAGAAATGTACTAGCTTGCATCAAATCAAACAAAACCTGGATGCCCTTTTAAAAGATATGCTACAGATAGTAGTTACTAGCTGACAGGAAACTGCTTGTCTTGTATTTGAAAGCAGAACGCAATTTTTTAGCGATCTAACAACTCAACTTACACATAGAGTTTTATATTAATATGTTGCTATTTAAAAACATACAGTACAATTTAGTCCTATTCAAGTACCGTATATGCTTTTGTTTAAATTCTGATTTAATAATGAACGAAAACTTGACTCCAAAAACGCTCATTTTTATTTGTCACTGTGGGCAATGCTTACCTCTTTACAAAGTGTTCTAGGGACCATTATTTTCAGGATCCGACATATTCTTGCGATAAACACTCTGTCCACCATTGCTCGCTCCTTCTTTCCCTCTTTCTGCTTCACATGGCACAAGCAAAACAAGAAAAGTGAGATTTTTTTGGTAATGTATTATCTAAAAGTTGATGTGGTATTTTCCCTATTCAAGTTATTTACAGCTGCCTTCTTCTGCAGCGTTTGCAGTGTTTCCTTCCAATTTAAGATTTGCTCACAGAAGTTAAAGGAAATTTAAGAAGCTGTGACGGCATACTCTCCCAATAACAGAAGTCCTGAGTAAGAGAACTAAGCTATCAAAACAAATTGAAATAGGAAGTAGCTCTCATGATACAAAATAATATTTATTTCAAATCTATGTTAAAAGCAATACACAAACAATGCAGACCATAGCATTAAAACATCCAATTACAAGTTACAATGCAATCTGCCATCTCTTAACACTGCTTGTCTCTAGAAGACAAGATCAGTCACTATTTTTAAAGATGCCTTCTATCATTTGTCTAGACCATCAATGGTTTAAACTCCTTGACTGTACAGCTCAAACTTGCTTCAAGTGAAACCAGAATTTGTTATTCTTTTACTTCTAAAAAAAAAGTGCAATGCACTTCTAGTGAGCTAAATCTACTAGAGCCCTTCCACACTGATACACCCTTTATTTGGTTCAGTTGCATTTGTTTACTCCATATAACCCTATCTTCTGTCTTGACTAACCTGAATACTTTTCAACACGCTAATGGTCCCAGTATCTTTTCTTTCTTTCCTTTGTTTCATTTTTTTTCCTTTCACAGTTGAGACATAGGATTCAGTCCTGAAAACAGACTAAAAGGGCATACATATGTACTTAAAACAAGTCCTGTCTAATCAACCTAATCCTGCTATCTTTGCTTCCCAAGACTCATGTGAAGCATAAGTTACCAATGTCTATTGTAATACTACAACACACTCAGACGGGAAATCTGAAAGAAAAAAAATTGGGAGACAGGATAGGGAAGACAAACAAAGTAGCCTGTGATTCACCATTAATCAACTCAGACAATCATAGAATCATTGGAGTTGGAAGGGACCTCAAAGATCATCTAGTTCCAACCCCCCTGCCATGGGGGGGTTGAATCCTATCAAGCATGAATCCTATCAAGCACTCTAGTTTTTTTATTTCCAAGGGTGATTAAACCACAGAAACTTGCACAAAGAGCCCAACTTAATCTTTTCACTTACTGTTTACATATGCAACGCGATGGGCAACAAGTGCAAGCTCTGAGCCCCAGCAAACACGAATTTACTCTGAATGCACTGCGAATAAGCCTACACCTGTTTTTCACCGTATGAATCAACTATAGTCCTGTCCTTTTCAAAAAACGATGTGAACACAAGTGACAGATAGAAATTCTAGCTAGGTAGGATCTTATATTGTAAATTATATCAATTAAAAATTATTTACACAAAAATTCACGCAAGCCCAACAACTAAAGACTACTGTCCAGGCCCAATGAAGCACGATTCTACATGTTATTGCTTTTCTGTAATAGAAATGAGAAACACAATGTCTGATGTGAAATTTTTAGGAGTACCTGACTAAAAATATTTGATGTCTGAGCTGAACCTATTCTTCTTTTCTATTCATCTCTTCCCCATTCCCACTTCTGTGCTGCAATTACATTAATTCCAGTATCTTCTCAGACGTTTTTTTCCTTAGACTTTTAATTCCTCATTGAGCAAAATAATGGGCAGGAATAAGAGAAGACTTTTACAAACAGGTATACCTACGCAAAGCAAAAGTGTTTATGGCAGACAGCATAGTCAAGGTCTAGCTAGAAGTTAACACAATGCTTGCATACACCTTTATATCTATCCATTGCAAGCCTTTTCTTAAGTTGCCAGCAAAGATGAAAGTATGTAGAATATTTATCTATTAATAACATCATACGACCCAATACTTCTAATCATGGGCTCTGCCCGTCAGGCTAACTGTTGTATTTTATTTGAACATGAAACACAAAACCTGACTTAAAGGGATATAATACATCCTTTTCAAAAAAATGAATTAACAGACACATCAAAGACCAGCAAAATGCCAAATCTACCAGAAGTTTGAAATACTTTTTAGAAATGGTCAGACTCTACACCTTGATCCATAGTTTTTATTTTAAATAAAAAGCAAATACAAGTCATATCAAACCTACAGGCAGGTGTTTGTTGCTGTACACTCAGCCAAACTTACAACACTAGTCCTTAAACATTCATAAGGCACAAAGAGATGAAAAAACACACAGTACACATCAAGCACATATTATGCAGTCCAACTTCAGCCGTATGTGATTAACCTGATTCTTCCATTTGTTTCACCAGCACAAGTCTGAAAGTATCATTGAAACCACATTTGCACCATAGCCATCATTCTGTCCCAAAGAAAACTGCAATTACAGGACTCAAAAAAACCTATCAGTATTATTTAGAATTATTAAAAATCTATTACAAGAAGAAAAAATTACCTCATTGTTCTGCAATGCTTGTTTTCCACTTCTTTTACTGTAGAGAAAAAAAAGTATTTTACTTGTTATTAACATGTTTCTTTGTCTTGATGTCTACACAGAAGAGACAAAAACGAAAGCTTGGAATTACATCCCTATTTCTTTCAAAGCAGTATAGTGCCTTCAGAAGAGGGCTATCTTTTATGCCAAACTTACACGCTGTTTTTATACTATTTCAATTAAACCTTATTCCTTCCAGCATTCATTTTCATGTAGGTAAACTAAGCCTCTTTTTTTCATCTCTGAATTTTGCTTTAACTTGGCTTCTGTACCATGAACTCCTAAAGTTTTTGTTTCTAACATACACTTCACAAGCATGGCTACATGTTTCCACTGACCACAAATGAAAACACAGATTCAGCAAGTCAAGCAACCCAACTTTGATGTATTACACTATCTACATAAGCCAAACAGATTTGTTTTGCATTATATTTGACTTTCAAATAACACATTTTACTATACGTAAAGATTATTTGTTCATAAACAAGATTATTTGTTCATAAACATGCACTGCAGGGGAGAAAAAGTCAGATCCAAGTTACTGCAAAGATGTGCATTAGAAAGGGAGCTAGTTTTCACTCTGTCCTTTTTCCTTCCTCTGCATTTTACAGAACAGTTAGAAGAAAAATATTTATCAACTAGTGCTAAACAAATATTCAGAAGTACAATGCTATTCTTTCTCTCAAGATAGGCAAGCTGACATATAAGACAGTGATAGTTTGTCTGCCTTGCTCAACATTCAAGCATCAGATAAGCACATGAAGCTGTTAGGAAAGCTTATGCATTTATTTAGTTTAAAAGTGACAGCTAACCTATATTAAATCGTAACCTACCATTTCTCAACCACCATACTAAAACACTGAGAACAGGCTGCCTTAAAACAAGAACATTCATACACTTTCAAGACAGCACCTAGGTAATCACAGGGAAGCAGAAACTATGAAAGGCACTGCTCCTTCCACCTGCAACATCAAAACAAATGCAGACTGCCACACAACCAGTTATCCTGCAATTTTATCAACAGCATCATTTCACTGTTGTGCTTGAAAGCTCTGCAAATAAAATATCTAGGACGAAACCATGTCTATTTTATGATGATTAAAGAGATCTCTAAGTGTCACTGACCAATGAAGAGAAATAACTAAACTATTAGGCAAGGAAGAGGCAAGGTAGCAGAAGAATATGAGAAAAGAAGGGAAGGAGAACATGCAAGTGAGAAAGGAGAGATGCCAGTTTAACAAGAACTTAATTAAAGGTAATGGTTAAGATGGAAGCCTGAGAGGAGAAGATAATCTTGTAAGACTACTTGTGCAAAAGAGAACAAAGAACACGAATGGCAGCAGTGGGCAGACTGGAGGACAAATAACTTAATTAAGTTCAGAAGGCATATAACACTTAATCAGGTCATGATGGAAGTATGTCTGCAGATATGCTAACAATGTGCAAAGTCTAAGAAACAATCTAGTTAAAAACTACATCCTGGTGACGTAAGAGCAATGTATTGCTGGTACAAGAAATTTCTTGATGCCTCTTGTCATTTTTCAAAGTACCAAAGAATGACCTATTTTTTTAAAAAAAGCGTCCTTGAGTATGGATCACTCCAATTACATCTGGTTTGGGACTAGGAGAATAAATAAGTATGGATAAGTCCTGATCAAACTATGTGGGTATTTCCCTAGATGATTCATGACTTGCAGTAATGCAAAATGAAAGTCTGCTGCTCTTTCAGATACGCTACAATAATTTCTAGCTTTGTTGCTTCAAGGCCTGCCAATGTTTGAAGTCACAATGTCTCAGAATACCCAACTAGTTCAGCTTTGAAAGGATCAGAAGTGAATAAATTAAAATAGTAACATATTAAGGATATAGGGCCCAGAACTATTCTGGCATTTCAATACCTTTAATATATTTGTTCATACATTTTTTCCTACAGTAGCTGTTGAGATAAATTCAGTAGATGAAACTACTGAACTGAGCTGAAACTGATCATCCCTTAAAGAGATGACTGTTCAGAAACAGTGATCTTACACTTAATTGTGAACTCACATTTAATTAGAATTTATATTTATAAAGTTTAAGACAAAATTCAGTATTTATAAATTCAAAACCTAATGAAAAAAGACCTTTAACAGTGTTTTGTTCTCTTTTTCTAAAAAAAATCATGCAAGTTCAAAACAAGACTAATACTTCAATAAGAAAGGAAACAATCTTATTTATGAAGTATGGATTATCTAGAAACTGAAAAATAAATGTGGCTACATAGCTCCAAAAACATTGCTCTTGCTATTTAAAAAAATAATCCATTGTTATTTTAACGAGTAAAACCATTTTACTTGCAACAAAAGACTGCCCAATAGCTCTGCCTAGAATAAAACTTCCACAGGCCGATTAGTGCAGAACTTCTCCTTCTCGAGAGTCTCAATTTTTCAGTCCGATACCTACTGGCACCACTCCAGACTCCATTATACTATTGTAGAACTTTTGTGAGAATTGCGGTTGCATTCTCATTGAATTTTAAGACAAAATAACAGCCTCAATTAGTCAGCAAGAACACAACAAGACGATCTGGTTACAGCAGAGATCTCTAACATTTGGAATAGATTCAAGCTCTCTATTATTCCAGACCTCTCATTTACTTAATGCTGGAGCATCACAAGCCTTATTGGTGAAGGAAGGTAAGTGCTATACGCTGTCCAAATTCTCTACTGCAAATAACTCCTCTGGTATAGGGACCACTGTTGAGCAGCACAGTGTAACGACTGCTCAGAATACGAACATAAAGCTGCCTTCTACTGCAGCGTTAACTTTAGCGATTACCCCAGCCACGCATATCACCCCCCAGCTTGAGTTAAATCTTGCTTTTTATTACCATAAGTTCCTTGAAGTCAAGTGCTACTGATGCTTGACTTGGTGATGCAGTAGGGTAACAGCTAGGATACTGGCTGGGTTAGTACAATTCGTCACATGCTTCTTCAATCAATATTACTACCATTCAGGAAGCTACTATCAAATTGCAAAAGAGCTCTACTTTTAATCTTTAGTGTAGAATCTCGCTTCATCACAAGGTACTCACAATGAAACCCTTCCCTGAGTGTATGAATTGAGGCTGAAGCTGGACTGGATGGGACAATGAAAGATCCCAAAGTAAAAACAACTTCCAGACAGTCTGAATGGGAGCAGCACTGGATTCACCAGCGATATGAAACACAACCCATAGGGAACACATTTCTGTTCCTCACTACCTCAAAGTCAGAACTGTGCAGTGACTGTTCACCATTCATTTCTCCCTTTTTCTTTCTAGATCAAAAAGTCCTGAGATTTTTCTCCTGCCCTTCCCTGGATTTCGATTGCTTTTTTACTTGCAGTCCTCAGTTCCCCTGCATCATTAGATTTTATCAGAAGGAATTCAATAATTACATTACAGACACTAAGAGAATAGAGGACCTTGCTTTAGGTGACAAAAAAAAAAGTATGGTGACAAAATAAGACTACAAGAACAAATATTCAAAAGACTACTTTATGGCAAGAAAAAGCAAGCATGGCATATACCATAAAACAATCTCATCCAGGAAAGTCAATTATTACATTTTTCAACTTATGAATGCCTAACTTCACAGCTTAAAAATAATAATGTGATTTTAAACTGAAGCATGACAGTTTACATATGGAGAGAATATTCTGAAAGCATGAGTCAAGCATAAATTAATACAGTAACATTTACTCAAAATTACACAAAAACTTGTATATTGAACTGCTCTAATTTATTTCTCTGAAATAATAAAGTCAGTAGAAATATAAAAGCTAGCTTTCTTCCAAGCTCTTACTAGCAGAATTACTTAACTTGCTATAACTCATCTCCAACATCTGCTTGCTTTTCAGTTTTTCCACATGGAAGATGCTTGACCAAAGCTAAGTTTACTGCCAGTGAGTTATGAAAAAAGACTTGCCAATACAGTAATGAAATAATAGACTTCATGAAGTAGCAAGTAGATAACGGGCAGACTTTTGAGCTTCCTTCACGCCCTCACAGACAAGGAAGGGTGGTGATGGTGAGGTTTTTGAAAAGGGTTACCCAGACAATATATAGATAAAAGATAAGAAAAAACTATGGTACTAAAATATTTCTAACACTGTGCCAAATCCATTTATTTGGATAAGGAGTCTAGTTAGTGAAAGATCTAAGGAATACTAGTTCTGTGGTACTCATTAGCAAACAGGAAAGAGTTAAAGGATTACTGTCTCTAGAAATACTTATCTCATTCCAGAACAAAGTTCAGTGGAAGCAATCTACACCAAGCTAAGCATAACAGGCAACTGCAGATGAAGAGAGAGATAAGCAAGACTTCCAGTTTAATGACAGGTGACGAGGAAATGAGGGTTTGAAAATGTTACATTGTGCTTAATTGAAAAAAAAAAAAAAAGCTACAAATTTCAGGTCATGCTACCTTCCTTCTGTAAAGTAGGATGACTAGCTTCTGCCCAACACACTGCAAAGGAAGAATATCTGTTGTTGGGATAAGTGCAGCTTTTCAAAGGGTTGTTACCTCTAAGCAACCTTTGTATTTGTACTTTGCAGTCCTTACTTTCTAGAACGGCACAGAGAAATTTTCATAGCTTAAAAAAACCCACACGTAATAAATGACTTCATAATAGTTCACAATTATTTGTGCAGTTTTCAGCTTAGTTTTGCAGTCAAGATACTACTGTGACATTGTAAAGACGGAATACAATTCAAATGACTAAAGATAGAATGCAGCAGCGTACCTTGTTGCAGTGTGAAGAAGTAACAGCTACAACGAGAAAAGTACAGTGTCACTCATAGCACACTTACTGGTAGACACGGCTTCATACTGCATACCTCACAGAGAGGAACAGAGAGCAACACTACAGTTATTTCAGGTCAAGGGCAGCAATCTTACTCAGAAACCTGGGCACAGCCCAAAAGCATGCCCATTTACACAGTACACCCTGAGCACACACAGAAATCAAGAGCACAGATT